CATACCTAATATCCAAAATATATGAGGAACTACTTCAACTCAATAGCAAAAAAAGCCAAACAACCCCAAAACAAACAAACAAACAAATCCCAAAAACAAACCAAAAAATGGGCAAAAAACTTAAATAGACATTTCTTTAAAGAAGATATACAAATGACCAATAAGTATATGAAAAGATCCTCAACATCGTTAATTTTTAGTCATCAAATAATGAAAATCGAAACCACAAATATCACCTTATACCTGTTAGAATGGCTATTTTCAAGAAAAGAAAAGTGTTGGTAAGGATATGAAAAAATTAGAACCCTTGTGAACTGTTGGTGGGAATGTAAAATGGTGCAGCTGCTATGGATAATATTATGGAGGCTCCTCAGAAGATTAAAAATAGAAATATATGATCCAGTGATCCCACTTCTCGGTATTTATCCAAAAGAATTGAAACCAAAGAAATATTTGCATTCCCATGTTCACTGTAACACTGCTCACAATATCCAAGATGTGGAAACAATCTAAATGTCCATTAACAGGTGAATGGATAAAGAAAATGTGGTATATACATACAATGGAATTTTATTCAGTCTTAAAAAAGAAGGAAATCCTTCCATGTGTGACAACATGGATGAACCTGGAGGACATGATGCTAGGTTAAATAAGCCAGTCACAGAGGGACAAATGCTGCATGATACCACTTATGTGAGGTATATAAAAGTAAAACTCATAAAAACAGCGAGCAGAATCATAGTTGCTAAGGACTGGAAGGAGAAGAAGATAGGGAGTTGCTGTTCATCTGGTATAAAATCTCATTTATGCAAGATGATTAACTTCTGGAGATCTGCTATACAACAGTGTGTCTATAATTTACAATACTGCGTTGTATACTTAATTTGTTAGGAGGGTGAATCTCATGTTAAGTGTTCTTACCATGTTAAAAACAAACAAACAAAATCATTCTTGAGATAGGCTTAGGGTTGGGTGAAATCATTCATGTAATTTACAAATGCATAAAGAACCTGATGTGCACTAAGTATTACATAACCATTATTATTTTTCTTATTATATCTGTGGGAAGCCAGTTTGCTTGGATTACTCGATCCATAACTCAAACACCTCCATTCATTAGTTGGCATCTTGTTCTAGCTGCCATATCTAGGTGGAAAAAACAGACCCTGAGGGTTGAGATTAAATATTTTACCTAGGCATGGGACTGTATGTATCTATAGTGGAATTCTTTTCATCTTCAGTTTCTCACAAGGAACTGAAATGGAACTCTTCAGGGCAGTTGCTGGTTGTATAATGCGACAGAATGCTATATTGCCTTGCCTGACCTATTTCAGTCTGGAGTGCTATTTATTTCTAGGGGCTAATCAGGGAAGAGCTATGATCTGGTTCTTTCTTGGGCAGATACTGTATGCAGAAAGAACTTGGAAACTCTGCTAAACCAGAATCCACTTTATAGCCTTGTTTTCATAAACTAGGATGGAAGTTACTCATATTAAAAAAAAAAATAGTGAATTACAGAGTTGAAGAAGAATGTTACTATTATGAATATCAACAGGATTGTCTTACTTTTCAACATGCAAAAACTCATGAAACTGATGGCCAGCATTGTCTTTATAAACTGTAGCTTACATTAAGTTATCACAAATGATTTCTAAATATTAAAAAGCTTTTCATTTTGAGAATGTTTAGCTATTTCTTCCACTAATTCTCATGTTCTTGAGAATTATTGGGATTAACACTATGGAGAAGAACCAAAATTGATCATTTTTCTTAGAAGCTTCCGGAAGTTTTCCTCATTAAATATTGGAGTGGGTTACCCACAGAATTTATGAAGTTTCTGGAGAGATTTTAAATTGAAGAGATTCTTTTCAGCCTGGATGGCTTGGACATGCCCTGTCTGCAGGCAGAGAAATGGATGAAATGATTCTTGATGCTCTTTGTTCTGTGACCACTTGGCCCCAGATGGCTCAATATAGAGGGAGGCTCCTTCACAGTGTTTCTGGACCAACAGATCATGAGAAATCACTATGGCAACATTGACTAGTCTCTGAGGAGAGGCTGATAGTGGAACCATAGGTAAAGAGCCCTTACCTCAAAGGCTTAAGGGAAGTTATAGGATTTAAATCTAAGGGACACATTGATGGCACAACTAATGGGGTTAGCAAGCTTGATCTTAAGTGATAGATTGTCCCTTAATCAGAAAGGCTAATTTAGCCTGATTTCTGAATTCATTTAACAAATATTTGTTGAACAATGGTGTATATGCCAGCAATTTACTAGGCAAGGAAATATAAAGATAAGCAAAGCATCATGGTTTCTGATTTCATGAAACTTAAAATCTGATATGTATTTTAACAAACTGTGATAAGTGCCCTGATGTAAATTATAGGGCACAGTGAGAATGTATAAGATGGGAACTTAGTTGAGATAAAAGGTGGTAATCAGAATTTGGAATGGATGGGTCTCCCTGAGGAAGAGGCTCAGATCTGTAGGATGAGGAAACCAGACAAGCAGGTTAAATGAGAACTTTCTAGGGAGGAGCATGAGCAAAGACACTGAGGTGGCAGAATGAGGATAGTAGCCTAAAATGAGGCTAAGGAGGAGGGCTGGGCAGTGTAGTTTGTGTTATACATCTTAATCTTTAATCAAAGTGCAATATGAACACATTGAAGGCTTCAAGAAAATGGTGGTGGGGAGAAGAATAGAATGATCAGATTTTAATTTAGAACAATTCTGACTGCAGTGAGGGGAAATTATTGAAGATACACAGGGTGAATATGCGATAGTTGAGATAAAAAATCTTGGAGGCTTGAACAGATGATTGTCCGGGAGATGAAGAGAAGTAGAGGGACCTGAGATCTTTTTAGGAGACAAAATTAATAGTAGTTGGCGCTGGACTGGAAAAGGGTAGGTAGAGCGAAGGAGATAGAAACTCTAGGTTTAGATATATTGTGGATGTCTGGATAGAACTGTAGAGGACATGATGATTTTTTGATCAGATCAGAGGGAAAGTCTGGGAGATTTTTCTGATCCCTATAAACCACATAAGAAAGGCCCATCCAAGCTAGAGGAGGTAGAAGACAACACATCTCAGTTCATCTTGGCCGTGGATTCCTGGAGAAGCTCCTCTAAGGTACCCTGAGTAGTGATCTCAGCCTTGAATTATATTAAGCTCTGTGAAGAAGGGGACCATATCCATTTTGTTCCATACTCTGGGCCAATACTCATCAAAATTTCCAGCACATGTGTCTTTCAAAATATTATAGATAAAAATGATTTTCCCAAGAGCACAGAGAAGAGCACAAGTGATAGTAATATGGAGAGACATCTAGGATCCCATATCTCAGACACTTAGTGTAGTGACCTTCTGATGTCTCTCCCTCCCTCCCTCTCTCCCTTCCTCCTTCCCTCCCTCCTATTCCTCCCATCCCTCC